ATAGGAAAGCCCCCACTATTGGGGATAAAGTAGTTAAAAAGATTTTGGATCCACCTAAACAATTGGGTATGTTTTGGGATAAAAAGGTTTTTACTCATGCAAAAAATGCTCAGCTTGCAGGATAGTCAATAACAAATGTAGTGGACTTACCATGTTCCTTTCTAATTCTAATGGAAGGGAGTTTGATATAACCACTTTCATTACATGTGAATCAACCCATGTAGTATATGCCCTTGAATGTCCGTGTGGTTTGGTTTACATAGGCTGCACAAAAAGACATTTAAAGATTAGAATCCTCGAACATTTGAAAAACATAATGAAAGGCTATAAATATAATAGTGTATGTGTATTTAGAAAATTTCATAATCGAGACCCTTCTTGTATTCAATTTTGGGGAATAGACACCATTCCCCGCATGTGGCGTGGGTCAAATAGAATAAGAGAATTATCAAAATGTGAAACGAGATGGATTTATCTAACGCTTTGACTCCTAATGGTCTAAATGTGGAATTGGATTTGCATTGCTTTATTAGTGATTAATAATTTGTGAATTATGTAATTTAATTTTTATGTTATGTTTTATATTGTTATTGTTGGTAATTTTAATTTGTTTATGTCGATATTATTGTTTATTTATTATATATTGTAAAGCACTGAGCAAACTGCTGGCGCTATATAAATCCTGTATTATAATAATAATAAGAAGAAGAGTTTCATTTATTATGTGATTGTGAGTCACCTTTCAAAGTTTTTTTCACTGCCGATTAGTTGTTTGAACACAAGATGGCAATAGGGAGTAAATGTTTTGTTCCCCTCCTGATAACAAGTCCATTTTAGGCAAATCAGTAGAGTATATGCCATTATGTGCTCATTCAGTAGATGGTGGTAGTACATCAATTAAAGCTGACCTATAGGAGTGTGAGCGGCTCTATAAGAGACCGTATGTCTGCCTGCTGATCACACCCTCAGACGAAGTCATGTGACGAAACACGTTAGGGCGTGATCAAGCAGTGACGTCATCGCGTACGCCGCTACTAATTATACATTGCATGCTAATAATTATATATTGCATGTTTTGAGTGCAGCTTCATTTTTTTTATTCTACTAGATTCAGTGTTGATTATCATTATTTTTATGTATCCTTGAAGGCAATATAATTATATATTTTCTGTTTATTTTTTTGCTCATATAATATACAGGTGAAGCTCAAAAAATTAGAATATCGTGCAAAAGTTAATTTATTTCAGTAATGCAACTTAAAAGGTGAAACTAATATATGAGATAGACTCATTACATGCAAAGCAAGATAGTTCAAGCCGTGATTTGTCATAATTGATTATGGCTTACAGCTCATGAAATCCACAATCTCAGAAAATTAGAATATTGTGAAAAGGTGCAATATTCTAGGCTCGAAGTGTCCCACTTTAATCCGCTAATTAAGCCATAATACCTGCAAAGCCTTTAAATGGTCTCTCATTCTGGTTCAGTAGGAATCACAATCATGGGAAAGACTGCTGACCTGACAGTTGTGCAGAAAACCATCATTGACACCCTCCATAAGGAGGGAAAGCCTCAAAAGGTAATTGCAAAAGAAGTTGGATGTTCCCAAAGTGCTGTATCAAAGCAAATTAATAGAAAGTTATGTGGAAAGGAAAATTGTGGAAGAAAAAGGTGCACAAGCAGCAGGGATGACCGCAGCCTGGAGAGGATTGTTAGGAAAAGGCCATTCAAAAGTGTTGGGGACTTTCACAAGGAGTGGACTGAGGCTGGAGTCAGTGCATCAAGAGCCACCACACACAGATGGATCCTGGACATGGGCTTCAAATGTCATATTCCTCTTGTTAAGCCGCTCCTGAACAACAAACAACGTCAGAAGCGTCTTACCTGGGCTAAAGAAAAACAGACCTGGTCTGTTGCTCAGTAGTCCAAAGTCCTCTTTTCTGATGAGAGCAACTTTTGCATCTCATTTAGAAACCAAGGACCCAGAGTATAGAGGAAGAATGGAGAGGCACACACTCCAAGATGCTTGAAGTCCACTGTGAAGTTTCCACAGTCTGTGTTGATTTGGGGAGCCATGTCATCTACTGGTGTTGGTCCACTTTGCTTCATTAAGTCCAGGATCAACGCAGCCATCTACCAGGAGATTTAGGAGCACTTCATGCTTCCTTCCGCAGACGAGCTTTATGGGGATGCTGACTTCATTTTCAGCAGGACTTGGCACCTGCCCACACTGCCAAAAGCACCAAAACCTGGTTCAATGACCGTGGGATTACTGTGCTTGATTGGCCAGCAAACTCGCCTGACCTGAACCCCATAGAGAATCTATGGGGCATTGCCAAGAGAAAGATGAGAGACATAAGACCGAACAATGCAGAAGAGCTGAAGGCCGCTATTGAGGCATCCTGGTCTTCCATAACACCTCAGCAGTGCCACAGGCTGATAGCTTCCATGCCACGCCGCATTGAGGCAGTAATTGCTGCAAAAGGGGCCCAAACCAAGTACTGAGTACATATGCAGACTTATACTTTTCAGAAGTCCGATATTGTTCTATGTACAATCCTTGTTTTATTGATTGCATGTAATATTCTAATTTTCTGAGATTTGGGGTTTTCATGAGCTGTACTCTCCAGTGCTTTTAAGACTCTCTTGTCTTAAACCACTTCTGGGTGCTTTTTGATGTGTGCATTGGGTCATTGTCCTGCTGTAAGACCCATGACCTCTGACGGAGATCCAACTTTCTGACACTGGGCCCTACATTGCACCCAAGAATTCTTTGGTAGTCTTTAGTGTTTATAATGCCATGCACACGGTCAAGACATCCAGTGACTGAAGCAGCAAGGTCAAAACAGCAGTGAACTTCCACCATGTTTGACTATAGGAACTATATTCTTTTCTTTAAAGGCCTCATTTCTTTTTCTGAAAACAGTAGAATAATGGGATTTACCAAAAAGCTGTAATTTTGTTTAGTCTGTCCACAGCACATTCTCCCAAAAGAATTTTGGCTTCCTCGGGTAAGTTTTGGCAAACTCTAGTTTGGCTTTTTTATGTTTCTGTGTCAGCAGTGGAGTCCTCCAGGGTATACCATAGCATCCCTTTTCATTCAGATTGCGAAGTGTGAGTTGACACAGTTGTACGCTGTGCCTAACGGTCAACTTGAATTTGTCTGGAAGTTGATCGAGGTTCTTTATGCACCATCTGAACAATCCTTTATTGCAATCTTTGATTACGTTTTTCTCTTTCGTCCATGTTCAGGGTAGATTAGCTACAGTGCCATGGGTTGTAAACTTCTTGACAATGTTGTGCACAGTGGACACAGGAACATTAAGATCTGTTAATTGATACAGGTGAGTTTAATTACAAATTACAGGAGCATCACAATCTTGGAATGCAATTATTTCAATTTTGAGAAGGTGCCAATAATTTTGTCTAGTCCATTTCTGGGGTTTTGCATGGAATGTGTCAAATTTGGCTTTTTGTTTCTCTCCTTTTTTGTGTCATACCAATACAAACAAAAGAAATAAACACAAGAACGCCCAAACATTTGTAATTGCAACAATTTTCTGGGTGAAGTGGTGCATTATCTGCCAGAAATGCAGGGGTGCCAATATTTGTGGTCATGAATATATATATATATATATATATATATATATATATATATATATATATATATACACTGTATATATATTATGAATAATAATATTAAAAAACTGTAATCCAAGAACAGCATAGATATATATTATATGAGCAAATAAAATAAATAAAAATATATAATTATATTGCTTCCAAGGATACATAAAAATAATGATAATCAATACTTAATCAAGTAGAATAACCAAATGAAGCTGCACTCAAACCATGCAACATGGAATTATATATATATATATTATATTGCCAAAATGTGTTGGGACGCCTGCCTTTACACACAAATGATCTTTAATGGCATTACAGTCTTAGTCCGTAGGGTTCAATACTGAGTTGGCCCACCCTTTGCAGCTATAACAGCTTCAACTCTTCTGGGAAGGTTATACACAAGGTTTAGGAGTGTCTGTGGGAATGTTTGACATTCTTTCAGAAGTGCATTTGTGAGGTCAGGCACTGATGTCAGACGAGAAGGCCTGGCTTGCAGTCTCCGCACTAATTCATTCCAAAGGTGTACTATTGCGTTGAGGTCAGGACTCTGTAGCTCGCTCATCCATGTCTTTATGGATCTTGCTTAGTTCATATTGGCGCAAGAAGGGCAATCCCCAAACTGTTCCCACAAAGTTGGGAGCATGAAATTGTCCAAAATGTCTTGGTATGCTGACACCTTAAGAGTTCCCTTCACTGAAACGAAGGGGCTAAGCCCAACCCCTGAGAAACCACGCCATACCATAATCCCCCCTCCACCAAACTTTACACTTTGGACAATGCAGTCAGGCAAGCACCGCTCTGGCAACCGCCAAACCCAGACACATCTATCGGATTGCCAGACAGGGAAGTGTGATTGGTCACTCCAGAGAAGTGGTGGCATGCTTTACGCCACTGCATGCTTTCCAACGCTTTGCATTGCACTTGGTAATGTAAGGCTTGAATGCAGCTGCTAGGCCATGGAAACCCATTCCATGAAGCTCTCTATGCACTGTTGTTGTGCTAATCTGAAGGCCACACAAAGTTTAGAGGTCTTCAGCTATTGACTCTGCAGACAGTTGGTGATTTCTGCATACTGTGCTCTTCAGCATTAGCTGACCCTGCTCTGTAATCTTGCATGACCTACCACTTCCTGGCCGAGTTGCTGCTGTTCCCAGTTGCTTCCACTTTGTTATAATGCCACTAACAGTTAAACATGAAATATTTAGTAGCCACGAAATTTCATGGATGGGCTTATTGCACAGGTGGCAACCTATCACGGTACCACGCTTGAATGCACTGAGCTCTTGAGTGCGACCCATTCTTTCACAAATGTTTCTAGAAGCAGTCTGCATGCCTAGATGCTTGATTTTATACACCTGTGACCAGGGGCGGACTGACAACTTATGGGGCCCCCGGGCAATAGGGGATCATGGGGGGCTATGAAAAAGGTACCAGGGGCATCTCATGGGGCCCCCTACTGACCCCGGGCCTTTGGGTAGCGTCCAAGTTTCCAAATGGTCAGTCCGCCCCTGGCTGTGACCATAGAGGTGATTGGAACACTTGAAACCAATGATTTGGAGGTGTCCCAATACTTTTGGCAATATAGTGTGTATACAAACAGTGCTGTGAAAAACATTTGCCCCCTTCCTGACTTTTTTGCATATTTGTCACACTTAAATGATTTAGATCATCAGTCAGTTTTCAATATTACACAAAGATAACATGACTAAATCCAAAATACATTTTTTTTAATAATGATTTCATTTATTAGGGGGAAAAGCTGTTCACACCTGCCTGGCCCTATGTGATAAAGTAAATGCCCCCTAAACCCCCTGCTGCATAACCAAGTGCGCTTGAGCTTGAGGTCATAACTGATGGCCGGACATTCTTCTTCAGGGTTTTCTGGTAGAGCGCAGAATTCATGGTTCCATCAATTATAGCAAGTCGTCTAAGTCCTGAAGCAGCAAATCAGCCCCAGACTATCACACTACCACCACCATGTTTTACTGTTGGTATGATGTTCTTTTTATGAAATGCTGTGTTAGTTTAATGCCAGATGTAACAGGACGTACACCTTCCAAAAAGTTAAATTTTTCTCTCATCAGTCCAAAGAATATTTGTCCAAAAGTCTTGGGGATAATCATGATGTTTTTGGCAAATGTGAGACGAACGTTTTTTTTGGTCAGCAGAGGCTTTCACCTTGGAACTCTCCCATGGATCCCATTTTTGTCCAGCCTCTTTCTTATTGTTGAATCATGAACACTGACCTTAACTGAGGCAAGTGAAGTCTGTAGTTCTTTAATGATGTTCTGGGTTCTTTTATGACCTCCTGGGTGAGTCGTTGCTGTGCTCTTGGAGTAATTTTGGTAGGCCGGCCACCCCTGGGAAGGTTCACCACTGTTACTAGTTTTCTCCATTTCTGGATATCGGCTCTCAGCGTGGTTTGCTGGAGTCCCAAAGCCTTAGAAATGGCTTTATAACCCTTTCCAGACTGATACATGTCAATTACTTTGTTTCTCAACTGTTCTTGAATTTCTTTAGGCTGCGTCGTGATGTGTTGCTTTTTTAGATCTTTTAACATGCTTCATTTTGTCAGATAATTTCTATTTAAGTGATTCCTGATTCAACAGGTCTGGCAGTTATCAGGCTTGGGTGTTGAAAGTGCAATTTAACTCAGCTTTCCAAAAAATGTGGTTAATCATAGTTCATTAATGATTTAGCAAGAGGGGTGGGGCACTTATTTTTTCACACAGGGTCAGGCAGAGTTCAACAGATTTTTCCCTTAATAAATGCAATAATCATGGAAAAACTGCATTTTGAATTTTTGGTGTAAAATTTACAATTGTTTGATCTGAACAATTTAAGTGGGACAAATATGCAAAAAAAAAATCAAGAAGGGGGCAAATACCTTTTCACTATATATATATATATATATATATATATATATATATATATATATATATATATATATATACACACACACATATGTAAGAGGCTGGATCAGGGGCGGACTGACAACTCATGGGGCCCCCGAGCAATAGGGGATCATGGGGCCCCTGTGTCCTTGCCCAAACTCAAAAAGCCTATGAAAAAGGTACCAGAGGCATCTCATGGGGCCCCCTACTAACCCTGGGCCCTTGGGCAGTGCCCGAGTTTCCAAATGGTCAGTCCGCCCCTAGGCTGGATGAAAAACCAGCTCTACCTTGGTATAGTGGACATACAGTATGTATATATCTATGAATAAATCCTACTAGCAGAGAAGGCTCAGCCTGAGCGCAGGAACGTCTTAAATATTTTTATAAATGTTCACAATACATAGTTCATAATATAGTCTGATGCTCAACTCTTTCATTTAGACCATTGAGAGATAGGGTTTGAAGATCCCCAAAACATTTCTCTCTTGCATAGCTTACAAAAACACTCCGCTGAGGTGAGACCACTGGGCATCTCCTCCAAGATCCACATCCTCAGGCCTATAGTGGAACACTTATGAGTTTCTAGAAAATGTCTAGGGACAATATGGATGTCCTCTCCCTGCTCTATGAAGTGTTGGAGGAAATACAGCTGCAATTATACTGAATGGGCTCAACCAGCCTGTTTGGAAGAGTCCTTAAAAAGGTTGATGATCCCAACTTGTGCAAATTATCTCGTTCTGATGGTGAATATGAAAATCAGCTTCAGTCATTGTATTTGGAAGACCTCAAGCTTTTTCAGGTCATGTTTGAATAGAGTACATGTTTCTTATCTTATAGCAGTATTAACAGGATCAGTGTTCAGTATGAAATTTGGTCTTGGTGGAGATGTTCGCATTGTTACAGTGGCACCATTTGAGTGAGGTGAAGGCTACAGTTCCTTGCCCATGCCACCTCCTGCGACAAAGACCCCAGGTATTTGATCTCTTGAACCTGCTGCATTTGGATTCCATTAAGGAGAACATTGGCCTGTTGTCCATCTGTGATCACCACTCTGGTCTTATTCCCATTGACTCTTAGGCCGTAAGATATGCAATACAATCAATGTGGTAAAGGGTGTCAGTGACCTCTGCATCCATGTTAGAAAATGTAGTACTGTTGTCTGCAAACATAAAGTTAGGCAGGAAGTTTTTCACATCCTACTGGACCCATGTCTGTTCATGAATGCTTTCCAGGTGTTAATCACAATATTGAAAATTGGGGCAAAGTGACATCTCTCTGGCGGACTCCAGTTTGAATAGGAAATTCCTTGGATAATTCATTTTGGATCCACACACTGCTGATTGAATCGAGCCACAGGATGCATTTACATCTTTCAGGAATGATAGGAATCGGGATGTAGTCCAGGATAGCTGAATTTTTCACCAGATGGTTTGCGGCATGTAGGCTGGTATTTGTGAAAGTGATGAAAGCGACTGCTGCCCACTACCTGGTTGTTTGATGTAGCAAAGGACAGCAGGTGCAGAATTGACACCATAGCCATAACCAGAATTGACAAATGCTTCTTGCTATCCAGTCCTGTCTGCACCGATATGTGAGCATTGAATTTGTCCACCAGAATGACCAGCTCTGTCTGCATGATCAAATCCATCATATGTTTGAACTGGTCATAAAAATCACCCTTGACTGCATACAGACTGGATGCAATAAGGTATAGGTGGACAGAATATGGGTCTTTACTGTGCCTTTGATGATTATAATGGTTGGAAGGCAAATACACTTCTGGCAGCCTATCCATGGTCAGTGTCCCAGATCTGATGGGATGTAGTTTGAACACTGCTGCGATCAAGAGTTTAGATTTCAAAAATTCCATGGTTATTATTTCTTTTTGTCCAATATATATTGTCCAGTTTGCACATTCCACACAGCGATGCAAATTTCCAGTTTCAATGTCATAAATTTAATTCCTTGACCAGTAGCCCACTACTTACCAGCACCCTGGGTCCCCAATCATAGGACATTTGCACAGTACTTCAAGAGTATACTCGTCCTCATCTCTAGACTATTCCTCTATACATGCAATATATGACAAATCTACCTAAACTCATGCCTTCTCAAAAGGAGTCTCACAGTTGTCCTAGAGAATTCAGAGAAATAGCCCTGGCCATCCTAATAAAACACACACCATTCCCTGCTCATTAGAGTCGTATTTAGAACCTTCAGAGACCTGGTGCAAGAAAGCATAAAGAGCTCCCCTCTGGACCCTTTAGTCTCGTCCTGAGGCCCTTCCCTCTAAGCCTAGGCCCTTCCCACTGATCCCGGGGCCCATCTCAGGGCTCTTTAGACCAGTTTTTCTTAACCTTTTATTAGTCAAGGCAACCTTTAAAATTATGGGCATTATCAAGGCACCCTCTAAAATTATCGACAGTCCCAAGGCACCCTTTAAAATTATGGACAGTCTTGAGGCACCCCATTCTAAAATGTAAAGAACTATTTAAATAGTTTTATATAACGCAGCAACATCCACACACGTAGGACACCCAGTGTTAGAGGTGATTTATTCTTCCAAAGCAAATACACTTTTGCACACTGGTATTGACTAGTTTTCCAATGTTTCTTTTCTCCCTCAGTTTTTCTTCATCACTGAGCTGATGTGACTCCAGAACTGACTGAAAAGGACAGGACAGAGTCAACAAGGCTGCTGTGCAGGCAACCGAAATCCTCCTTATCAACTGATGATGTCATTAGTTGTCAGGATCCTGCAGCTAAAGGGTCATGATGGCGCACAATGAAAACCTGTGCCTTTGTTTAACTAAAAGGCAGGAGTGTTCCACCTGCTGGTTTGTATACCAGTTTTGGGCAATTTTTAGACATTTTGCCAAGGCACCCCTGAAGAAACCTCAAGGCACCCTGGTTGAAAAAGTCTGCTTTAAACTTCATGTACACTGAAACTGCGGTAGGCATTAACTGTGCTGGCAACAGAAACATGCTAAACGTGCCAGAAACGCGTGTAAATGCACTAACATGTTTAGCACTTGGCCGTTTATATAGTTCATTGGCCAGAGTACTTGCCACTGAAATTAATAAATTCCAAAGCGCTAAACGTGGCTAGCACTTAAGCACGTTTACACTTTTTTCTGCTGCATTTGGCGTCATTCGTGCAACAGCATCATGGGTCATGGGGCAAAGTAATGCACTGGGGCCCCTACCAGGAAGATGATCTGTGGAGTGCTACGTGCGCCGCAGTAAACACTGACTATGGATAAATTATGCCATGTATTGTGCATGACTTTTTAGTCTGATTAGAAATTTTAGTCGGATTTTTTTACACATTGTACACATACAATTTTTTCAATTTTAATTCATTTTATTTAAATATTTTTTTTCCATAACACTGTTGGAGGTCTAAACAGACTCCTGTTGTCTCACTTTTGAGACAGAGAAAGGCTGAGGACATATTCCCCTGTCCCTTTTTTCTATAGCATCAGCTGCACTGCACATGAATGGACAGGAGACAGAGGCTCCTGTCCATTTATGAACTGAAGCATAGTAAACACAGTTAACTATGTGTCAGTTATGAATTAATATGGTGAGTGATCATTACCGATCACTCACTATGTTCACCTAGAAAAGGAAGAGGCCGGTAAATAACATATTTACTGGCCCCTTTCCCCACTCTCCATCCTGAAAATCCATGTGTGTCTGCAGTTGCTGTCAGCAGGAGAGGAAGAGCTGGAAGTGCAGTGGGGGGGGGGGGGTCTAGGTAGTAAGGGAAATCCAATAGTGATCAGTGCAGCCAGTGGGGGATATAGCTGAAACAAATCTTTTGTGACTCTCACTGCAGCAGCTGGAACAGGAGATGTCAGCTTTCAGCTGCTGCAGTGAGAGCCACAAAAGATTAGTTTCAGTTATTTCCCCCACCCACTGCGCTGATCACTCACTCCACATATGATTACGCCTGCTGAGGTGAGGGGGGAACTGGACCTGGGGCTGTGCCTGTGCGAAAAGATAGCCCTGGTCTTGGCCTCCCCCCATAGTGGTGGAACGCTAGGGCCCGGTCGTAAGTCTGACCTTTGCAACCCTGGTAGTTCCACCACTGCTGCTCATACTAGAGCCCAAATAAGATTGATATTTAAACCCCGAAAGGATCCAGAACAATCTATTGCCTTGGTAAAGACAGACTGCATACTCCTAGCGCAAATAATTATCCAACCGAATACAGCTCCTGTTGCCATCACATTTTACTTCACATCAACTTGGCTTTGTTGGAAAGACATATTTTGATCAAGAATGGCTATAGCTCCATTTCCCCATTAGAAATCATATGCTCTTGAGCCTCAATGCTGAAAAGGCTTTTGACAAAATTCTATGGCCTTTTCTTCTTGAAAGTCTTGGTGGTGAGAGTATTTATCTATAATTCACCTTCAGCCTCCCTTATAATAAGCAACTCTCTCAAAAGATACAGAAGTACAGGGGGTACCAAACAGGGCTGTCTGCTCTGTTCAGCTTAGTCTTGGATACTGTGCTAAAACACTTGGAAGCTGCTCCACAATTCCATGATATCTAATCCCCTCATAGGGTCACATTGGTAATCAGAGGGGATCCTGCTACCACCAGGAAATGCAACTAACTCAGCACCTCCTCAAAGTGTCACATTTTGGACTCCCTCTGAGATGGTTGCAGGAGATTGTCCATTGTACCTATTTTCATAATAAACAACTGAAGGCAGACATGATTATCCACAAAAGAGCATTTCAGGAAACTGTATTAGAGTTGTGTGTTGCGCGTGGGAGCTGTAACACCTGAAGCTGGCACTGGTGCGCTGGTCTCACTCAGCTGTCAGTGAAAGCTGTGTCTGCAGCAGCTTATGCTGCACATGGAGGGGAGAATTCTATGTAGTAACAGGTACACGTTTTGGGGCTTCTGCCCTTTAGCCAAGCTTGCCTGCTGTGGATCTAAAAGCAGATTTAAATCATCAGTGGAGGGGGACTACCAGGGGCAGACTGACCATTTGGAAACTCGGCACTGCCCGAGGGCCCGGGGTCAGTATGGGGCCCCATGAGATGCCTCTGGTACCTTTTTCATAGGCTTTTTTGAGTTTGGGCAAGGACACAGGGGTCCCATGATCTCCTATTGCCCGGGGGCCCCATGAGTTGTTAGTCCGCCCCTGGGGACTACAAGAACTAGAATGCCAGAGAACAGGGCTACATTATAGACATTACAAAATACACACTGGTAGAGGTTTACTTGTATAAAAGAACAATAGTCTACCACATG